CACACACACACACACACACACACACACACACACACACACACACACACTCTGTGCGCATGACCCCCACGCATAGAGGCTGTATGAAAGTGACTGTATCTGACATGCAGACGCTCATACACACAGAGACAGAGAAACCGTCTTGCAGCCTTTCACAAACGAGACTCCTAGGCTCTGGAAGTCACTGCCTCCCCCACCCACCTTCCTTCCAATCGTCCATCAAGGCACAGTCTCCTCCCTCTTCCCCTTCTATCCTCCCGACCTGGTGACCCTGGGAGTCGCGAAAAGTCTCCCAGAATCTGTGGGAAGAGAAAGGGGTACTCAGCTAGGGCTGAGCTTGCCTCCAACAACTGAACCCTTCCTTCCTCAGCACACCTTCCTACACAGAACCCCTCCCCGTGTCTCCACAACCTCCCCAAGCAGACACTCTGGGAGCACTGGCCCTTTAAGGCTACTCCTCCCTTCCACCTTCTTTGAGTTAGTGTCCGGGCCCCTAGCCCCGCCCCTTCCCCTCGTGCCCCGCCCCGCCTCTGTCAATCATCGGCGGCGCCTTTGATGTCTGGAGCTCTGAGCTCTCCAGGAGCTCCGGCAGCACTCCGAGCCTCCCGCGCCTCCAGCTGCTACCGCACCTCCAGCCTCTAGTCTGACCAGCCCTCCCGCTTGCTTCTTCACAGAGCCCCCACTTCTAGCCCTTACCCTCCCCCAGGCCCGGGGGAGCCGGGCGCCGGCGCGGGCTACACACGGGTCAACCTCAGCCCTCCCGGGCAGAGGCGCGGAGAAAGGACCCTCCCCACTACCTCCCCGCACAGGCCCCGAGGGTGCCCCAGAAGTTATTCACAGGCAGTTCGGAGTGGAAAAGTGAACCCCAGCGGAGAGAGAGCGGGAGCGAGAGCCCCGCGGCCCCAGCCCGATCATGCCCCAGTTGGGCGGAGGCGGTGGCAGCGGGGACGACCTGGGCGCAACAGACGAGATGCTAGCCTTCAAGGATGAGGGCGAGCAGGAGGAGAAGATTCCCCAGGGGGGCTTCCCCGAGCGGGATCTGGCTGACCTCAAGTCCTCGCTGGTCAACGAGTCCGAAGGCGCCGGCAGCAGCGGCCAAGCCGGGAGCGGCCCGGGCCAGACAGAGGTGAGGGGGAAGCCGAGGCGGGGGCTGCTGGGTAGCTGGGGGGAGCCGGGGCGCTACAGAGAGTGCCTCCCGCGCCTCCTGAGCAGTCTTGGGTGCTCTCTTCTTACTCTGGAGTCTCCCCCCCCCACCCTGACCCTCGCCTCTGTCTCTGCCCTGCCCCGGTTCTCTTTCCCTCCTCTGCCACTCTCCCTCCCCCGCGCTCTCTTATTCTGCTTGTCTCCCTCGATATTGGTGGCTGTCTCTGTCTTTCTGTCTCACATATATGTATCAATTTCTTTTTCTTGTCTCTTTGTCTCTGTGTCTCTCTTTTCCTCTGTCCTTTTCTCTCTATTTCTCTTTCTCTCGGTGACTGTCCCTCTCGTCTTTGCCCCCTCCTCTCTCTCAGGCGCTCCGGAGAGCTCAGAACTCCCAGAGGCTGTATCAGGACAAACTCCCAGATGCCTTGGAAGAAGGTGAGTATGGAGACCATTCAGGCCCACCCACTGACTTTCAACTTACTGCCACCATCAGCAGCAGCAGCACTTCAGGGCCCCTGGGAGGGGGCGGGGACCGCCGGAGGGATGTAGAAGAGCTGTGCCTCCTTCCCCCCAAATCAAAGTGGAGAGTTGTCAGAAAGGCTTAGATGGGGGACTGTTGGGGGCGGGCTTTCAGGCCTCGGGGCACCCCACCCCGACAGAGTCATTTCCTGTCCACTGACCTTTCTTAAGAATAAACAGACCCACTCCCCCCAACCTCCACCCCAGGTGACTGAAACGCTGAGGTGCTTCTTGGGGGAAAAAGTTGGGGACACAGTAGCTGGCCAGGGAGGGGATTGGGGATGGGCGATCACTTGGGGATCCAAGGCTGCGAAGTTGGGTGATTTTTCAGGGTCCCCAAGACAGACACCTTTTCCCAGGCGGATCCCCCTTCCCATTCTTCTGCTTTCACTGACTCCACACACCCCAGGAACCCGGATGGCAACTTATTTTAAAAAATATTTATCTTAAGAAAAGCAGAAAGATCCCCTTCTTCTCCCCCTCCCCCTGAACACTTCCAGAGGGGCGGTGTGACTTACAGCCTCTGGTTTCTCAGGCCTCAAGGCCCAGGACGGCAGCGGCGTCGGGATGTACAAAGAGTCTGTGTATTCGGGCTACAATCTGCTGGTGCACTACCCGGCCAACGGAGTAAGTGCAGGAGCTGGAGCTGGAGCTGGAGCTGGAGCCGGAGCCGGGGCTGGGACAGGAGCCGGAGCAGGGACTGGAGCTGGAGCGGTCACGGGGGCTGGGCAACCGCTGGTAAGTCTTCCCTTTAAGTTTATCTCTTCTCCTCACTCTGCCTAGCGCTTCGGGGCTCTTTGGCTCTAACTGTATGCTGACAGGTGGAGAACACTTGCTCACCAAAGATGGAAAAATAAAAAAGATTCTAGGAAAGAAGAGTCCTGGGCCCAAACCCGGCTAGGAGCCTGCTGCACTTCCAGGAGTCCCAACTTTCTGTAAGCGTCCTCAGACCCTGTTTTCAGCAGGGGAACCACGGATACAAGGGACAGAACGGAAAAATGAACCCCCGACCAACTCTTCTTCCCCATCATACAGCTTTCTGTGCAGGGGACTTCTTGATTTCTCCAGAGCCTTTTTATTTTAGGAGCCATCGCCCACACTGATACAGGCCCTATTTCTAGTGAGATCACTGGGGCTAAACAAGTCAGAGAACTTCACCTCGGTTCCAAAGTCGGGATCTATCTAACCCTTTGAAGGTTTGAGCAGGGCCGAGAGGTTGTGCCAAGCAAGGTGATTAAAAATTCCGATTGAAGAATTCTTTCCTAGCTCCACTCAGAAGGACCAGAATTAAAACTGGGAGTTACTTCTATCACTTCTGAAACTAAAAAGGCTTTATAAATTACAATTTATAGGCTTTGAGGAATTTTGCATTCTGGGAAACTTGGCTTTCTGATGGGGTTTGCTTTTGATAAATATGCAGAGTAGGGGCTGGAGGAGGATGGGAGCAGTTCCTGCTATGTCTGTGCAGGCATTAGTACTTACAGTGGAATCTTTGATTTCAGTACAGTTTCAGAGATGTGCAAAACAGCAGGGTAAGAGCCAGAGTCTGCTAGGAGCCCAGCTATTATGGCAGAAGGCCTCTGCCAAGAACACACCCTTTTCCCTCCTCAGTGTTAGGGCACCCAGGCTAGGCCAGCTGGCTGCTCTGTTTCGGGATACCTGGGAAGTAGATCATAAATGCCCAGCCAGTAAGGTGTATTTGTGTGTGTGTTTCTGTGTCTGTGTCTGTGTGAGGGATCCTTTTGAGAGAAATTTCATTCTCTCTATCTTCCATTACTTTTCATTAGTTGGTACCTGGCCTTTTTTCTTAGGACAGCTGTTAGTGAAAAAGCCATCCGCATACCCTTCCCATCCCTATGTAATGTCTAGGAATTGGAATCTGTATGTGTGGGTCTCCTGTGCTGGGATGGATTGGGCAAATCTGTTTGATACTTTTAAGGTCTTTGGTGTACACTGAAGTGGAATACTTCCACTGTAGAGCTGGGCTCTGCTACTTACTACTCTTCTGACTTGGGACAAATCACTTGGGTCTCAATTTTCTTATTTGCAAAAGGAGGGGGTTGGACTAGAAGATTATCTCTAAAGTGTTTTCCAGCTCTTCACCTTGTGAACTCGTGTATGTATACATGATCTCATCTTGGCATAATGTATGTATTCCTGCAAAATGTATATAATTGATTCCTGTTTATAATGCACCAAGGAAGCCTATTACTTAAAGGAATTTGGCGGCAGGTCTGTTAATAACTAAGAATCTTCAGAAAGATTCGTAGATAATCTCCTAGTTTTTGGACATTTAAATCACCATAGACCTTGTTTTCTTAAAGTGGGTGTATGCCCAATTGTCCCATAGTACAATAAAATCTCATTAATTCAGACTCTACTAATTTGAAATTAGTCATCATTCAGAAGAGGTTGGTGACTTTCACCCTTCTTTACCCTAGATAGTGCACTATCTTCAGAGAAAAATATCAGTCAACAAACATTTATTTTTAAATAGGCAAAAAATTATATTTGCTCTCAAAGATCTCAGTCTGATGGGGGAAACTATGCAAACAACTATGTACATATGAGACATATAATGCAGGATACATTGAAGATCATCAACAGGGAAGAGGCACTAGCATTAGGAGGGATGGGAAAAGACTTTTTGTAAAACATGAAATCTTAGCTGGGACTTGAAGGGAGCCACAGAGGCTAGGAGACAGAGAGGAAGAGGGAGAGAATTCCAGGCATGGGGGACAGCCAGTGAAAATATCCAGAGCTTAGAAATGAAGTGTTTTGTGTGAGAAGCAGCAAGGAAGCCAGTGTTATCAGACCACAGAGTATGGGGTGGAGGGAGGAGGGTAAACTGTATAAGAAGACTGGGAAGATAGGAGGGAGCCAGGTTATAGAGGGCTTTGAAAACCAGAGGATTTTATATGTGATCCTGAAGGAATTGATAGTGTAATTAAAGTTATAGGGAGGAGTGTTTAAGCTATTATCATCTTAATCCAAGGAACTACCAAATGGTGGCTATGCATAAAGCTAGCACTCCGCTAGCTGAAACAAGGACAAAAACTGAACAGTCAAAGTCAAAGCGTTCACAGAGCTTGCTTTCTTCTGGGCAGATGCAACAAATGCAGGAGTTAATGGGAAGTAGATATAAAGGGACAGTATGTGTAATAGATAGAAGCACAAGTTAATAGAAAGTATTTACAAAGAGACAGTATACGTAATAGATAGAAACAGCCTCAAGTTAGCCCTGGAATCAAGGTTTCTACCTCTGACCCAGCTGGCAGTCCTTTAACCTTTCAATGCTCAGGGCAACTCTTAAAGATCCCAAGGTGCAAAGCAGGTATTTGGTATACATTGGTCAGGAGAATTTCCTCACTGAGAGTTCCTTATGCCAATGATACTACAGGTCCCACTCCCTCTCCCACCTCACCCTCCATACATAGTGATCTGGAGAAGGAGGGGGGGCTGGCAAGTAGGGCTGGCAAGTATCTAGCCACCAGGAAGAATTTTAGGAAGACTATTTGTTTATAAATTACAGATTATTTTCTAGTTCTTAAGTGGTCAGCAATACCAGTAGCCTAGTTTGAGCTAAATATAATTGAAAGAATCTTATATTTATATATATATATATATGTATATACACACATATATATAGTTGTATGTGTATATGTACTACAGACTACATATATATGTATTTATATACATATATATACACACGTGTATATATGTATATGTGTGTGTGTGTGTGTGTGTGTGTGTGTATATGTACACACACACACACATATATACATATACACTATAGCCTGTTCAGGCAACTAGGTGGCGCAGTGGATAGAGTGCTGAGCTGGCGTCAGGAAGACCTGAATTCAAATGTGACGTCACACACTCTCTAGCTGTGTGACCCTGGGCAAATCATTTAACCCTATTTGCCTCAGTTTCCTCATCTGTAAAATAAGTTGGAGAAAGAAATGGCAAACAACTCCAGTATCTTTGCCAAGAAAACCCCAAATGGGGTCATGAAGTATCAGATACAACTGAAAGGACTGAATAACAGACTGTTTCCTAGTTTCTCCTCTGCCTCCACAGCATCCCAGTAAGTAAGGTATTTGTGTAAATAAAGACATAGAATGAGGGAAAGTATGTGAAAATCATGTGTACTATACAATTTCAAGAAAATATCATTATCACAATGCTAACTTAAATGTTAATTAATTTTTCTCAAAAAGAATACCTAAATCAGAATAATTCCTGACTTGCATTAGGAAGTCAGGAGCCTGGGTTTCTCATCTTTGATCCAACAGTCCATTGTATAATCTTAGGTAGATCCCACTCTGGGCCTTTGTTTCCCCATTTATAAAAATAGAATTGACTAGAGGGGCAGCTAGGTGGCACAGTGGGTAGAGCACCAGTCCTGGAATCAAAAATACCAAAGTTCAAATATGATTAGAAGCTTACTATCTGTGTGAGACCAAGACTCACTTTGTAACACTAACCAGTCAATGTTCCCCAGGATCACCAGCCAGGACTTCCTTCTCTTTGGGAGCTCCATTGAGGTGGGATATTTTTTTGAGGGGAGGTTATGCTAAATCTTTATCTCTTTAGAAATCTCTGTTGAGAGATTGCCCTGTTCTTTTGAGGCAAGTCACTTAACCCCTGTCTGCATAAAACTGGAGAAGGAAATGCAAACTACTCTAGTATCTTTGCCAAGAAAACCCCATGGGCAGTATGGTCCATAGGAACACGAAGAGTCAGACACAATTAAACAACAAGAAAGAGGCTCTTTTAATCTCTAATCACTCGAACATTACATTTTCTATGATTCTATGAAAGGTCAATGACTTTATATGAAATCTAGTCATGAATAACTACAAATCAAAGCTATGACTTAGAAAAGCTGTTGAAAACATTACATAGATCATTTAAAGAGGACCTATGGAAGAACATGAAAAGAGGGTAGTGTTGTGTACTTGAAAGAACACTGGACCTAGCATTGGGTGAGACCTTGCTTCAGAGCCTGTATCTAATCAAGTGAGATTAGGGGCAAATCACTTGATCTCTCTGAGTCTGTTTTGTAACCTGTAAAATGGGGAAACAATAATAGAACTATGTAGGAACAAATAAGATAACGTGTGAAATGTTTTACAAACTTTAAAGAGCTATATAAATGTCCGCAATTATTATAAGAATCAAAGGATGAGAAACATTGTGATTGAGCCACTGGAAGGAGGTACTCAAGTATACACACACGTGTGTGTGTGTGTGTGTGTGTGTGTGTGTATACACACACATATACATATACACTATACAGAAGTCAAGACCCCTTAAAGGATTAGATTAAAACACTGAGTGACAACAGTGCTTCTGTCTCCGTGGATGAGGGTGAAAAGTTAAGCTTGCTACCCTCCTGTAGGAAGAAATGTCCTTTTTGGCTCTACAGTCAAAGTTCAATCATAGCATCATAGATTTAGACCCAGAATTGACCTCAGAGGTCATTTAATCCAACCTCTTAATTTTATAGATAATAAAATTGAGGTCTAGAAAGGGTAAGGGATTTACCCTAGGTGTTCTTGTTGTTCTGCCATATTTGATTCTTCATGACCCTATTTGGGGTTTTCTTGGCCTTTTCCAGCTCTTTTTACAGGTGGAGAAACTAAAGCAAACAGGGTTAAATGACTTGCCCAAGGCCACACAGCTACTAAGTATCTGAGGCTAGATTTGAACTCAGGAAGAAGAGTCTTCCAGAC